ATGAGGCGGTCCTAGGTGCCATGGGTCGTACCAGTGATTAGGGACACCTAAATCTTTACTGTGTGTTCCTGGTTGTACGGGTAGTAGTGGTCGGGGCTGGGTTGTAGATTAAAAGGCATAGCACTGTAAGGTGAAGCAAATGTAATAGCTGGTTCCATAAATACCTCTTTATTTTCTCAATAAACGTTCTGTTGCCTGGCCTTTGTATTCTATCCTTATAATATAAGCCAGATCCACACTTCAGTAGATGTCAGTCTCGACCGTATGGCGCAGTTACAAGGAAACGAAGCTGAGCTGCAAAACTAAAATTATTCTTTACAGTTCAAATACGCACCTATTCTTTTATCAGACAAACTAGAGTCTGCGATTTATCTACTGGCACCAATCATCTGTTTGTCCCGCTCACATGCCAAAAAGCCTTGTTTGATCATTCACATGAATTTTGTCACTCCGGAGTGCGTGTGGCTGTTAAACTCATCAGTGAGTGTTTCGTTTGGCCCAGAATAAATTCCAATGTCGGGAGATGGGCGCGTGAATGTTTGCAACGCCAAAACTGGGTATGGAATATGGCGTACCGTCTACGGTGACATCCGATAGAGGTGCCCAGTTCCAATCGACAATATTTACAGAGTCGACCTGACTTCGGGCTCCACATATCTTTACGACAGCTCATCATCCAGCAGCGAATGACCTAGTGGAAAGATTCCAAAGGCAACCGAAAAGCTGTCTGATGGCACAGGACCGTACAACAAAATAGAGTGTAGACTTACCTTTGATCCTGCTCAACATCCGATCAACTATCAAAGAAGCATTAGAGTGTTCGCCGACCGAACACGTTTGTGGTTCTAATCCAACTCTGCCCGGGCAGCTAGCTCCCTCAAATGATTCGACAGATGCGAATATTGCTGACTTCAATAACCGACTAAACAGACAGATGCTTCAACTCCAAACAACAACACTTCGACAAACTCTCCGACGACATCAGGTAAGCAAACACCTGGACACTTGCAAATTTGTCTTTGTCCAGGTCGACGTTGTCAGAAAAGGATTGCAACTTTCACACGAATGCCTTTCCAAGTCCCTAAACGTTCACAGATATTCTTTGCAGCGAATAAGTGGTAGACTGGAGAAAATTCTATTGATCAGATTAAACAAGCTTATACAGACAGTGAATTCGAAGCTACACTGACATCTGAACAAATAGTTAATAAAACAGTCGATACAACTACACCGGCACCAATTATTATCTCTCCATCTTATCAAACACGTAGTGGCCAGAAAATCAGTAGACCTGTCTGCCATGTACATTTTGTGGACTGACGAAACAATTATACTTTCCTCGTTCAAACATTGTTATCCTGATTTTTGCCATTTTCGCTTCATTTTGATGTCAGTGTTACCGTAAGCGATTGTTATCACTATTATTTCTTTGTTTGTGTATGAGCTGCAAGACAGGTATGTGCTCATCAAAAACAACCTGCTTTTAATCCGTGTTCTTCTTTTTCCCCTTCACGAATAACCACGTACATAGATATATACGTATATGCGTAAAACTCTTTGTTCACAGATTCTGCGAAGAGAAACCGACTTCATTTGGTTATCATAAACGTCCATTTGTTGTCCAGGCAGCCATTCTCTTGGAGGCCAAGTGAGTATTAAAGGAGCATGAGAGATTATGCAAAATACACTCCCTTCTTCCGGGGGTTTCTGATGACAGCAGATGATTGTTTCAGACTTATGTTTTAGTCAACAACTTCAGTGACATAAATTGTCGGTCTACAGTTGATACTGTTTCCATCCAGATGAGATCAATAACTGTGATAAATCACAAGCTATTTACTTGTTATAGCGGCCCCAGACCAACAAGTACATGTAGAAAATGCATTGCTTGCTAGACCCATCGTGTTGAACCATTTCACTCGAGAAGTGATAATGACAGATTAGAGTGCCCTTCTGAAGACGACATAGTCGTGAGAATGACCACATCACCCTCAGAATTATGGTTTTACAGAAATCAATACTCGGATGCCAGATGAGTGACCGCCTGTCATAAGATACAGTAGGGACGCATACCTCTTAGTGATATTAACAATCAATCACTCAACAAACAAAATATTTCAGTTTACGTGTGGAGATCAGAGAATGCAATTAGTCCCTCTGGCTGAAGATGGTGGTCAGGAAGGCTACTTTCAGTTTGGAAACGATCAAACGCTCTCATTCTTTGACACAGATTGGGATGTACTAATGAAAGGAGGATAAAATTGAACGGCAAATCATCAGTAAGGTCTAAATATGAATACAAGGGCATTATGAAGTAGACAAAAAAACGGTTTCGTATTAAATTTTTCATTGCACATAGCATATTTTCAACAAGATATTTTCTTTATACTTTCTAATGGTAGGTGTTTGTTTATCTCTGCGGAACAATTTCTTGCAATTACAACTTCAGTCGCGGTTAACGTGCCGTAAAGGCGGGATATCAGTCATGTCAGTGGTGTCTGCCACTCTGCCGTCCTGATGAGCTTCTACTAGGTACTGGTTTATTTGAAAGCTTTCAGGTGATACATGAATTCGATTCAACTAGCTGTAACCGATAATTCAACTAATCAATAAGTGAGCAAGCTGCATACCAGCTAGCAAGAAAATTAGGTGCCCTGCAGAAACCTCGGGGCAAGAAACGTTGGGTACACATACCTTGGTGAGGTCGGCTTACTCCACGTGTGTTCAAAAGTTTCTGGAATGCGCCTAACGTTTATCCCAAAGTGTCAGCAGGACTGAGCTCGAAATCAGTGCTATTCACCCTATACACAGGTGAGTCCCCCTAACAACTTTATCAAGATTTACAGCACTGAGACTGAAGCATGCCTCTATTTTATCAAAGTTTTTACATTATAATTGTGATTTATTACTTGGATGAAGTTACCACCGAGTACCTTCAGCGGGACTCTGACGGAGGTAACGGTAAACAATACTATTTTCCATTACTTGCTTTCCTAGAGGAACATATAGTTCGTAACTTTCGTAGCTTTAGTTGTGGTGATGGTATTTCGCTGCTAGGTGGGGTTGCTAGCGTCACGGCTAACCGTTTTATTCCTCAGTTTCATTTAATAACAAATCGATAAACTTTATTGTTACGACAGGTGTTTGGCCCACTATGTGTTGGAGATGCAGAGTGAAGGAGTGGAGATGGCAATGCAGTCCGTGCTACCAACACGTGAACCCATAAAATTTGAAAAGTAATAAGACCTGACACAAAACTGGCTATCGTTCTGAATTAAATTGCACGATAAAATCGGTCGAAACTGGAGGCCAACTTACCTTGAATGCAGGAGGTTATATGTATCCAAAGTGTGACTAATATACAAGCTATGTAACTTGCTTTTGAATGAATGTGAGTTGGTTGGGATTACTAAGTAAGTGCTTAGTTTTCAACTACAAATTATTGTCGAGGTTTTCTGATAAAGTAAGTTCCTAGTACGGGTGTTACTTCACATCTGACAAGACTTTCAAATAGCCACTTCCAAGTGTTTCAACATAATTCCATGAACTATTGTGGTTGATTACTGGCTTTGACTTGGTGTAACGGTATGAAAGCTTGAGTAGCTGTAATGCTGACCAGTGTTCTGTTTCATTCCGTTTCAGACAAAATCTAGGGAGTCAGTTCTCTGTCGCATGAAGGATGTCAACTGTGAGGACGCGACAATAACGAAGAGCAGAAGGCGTGTGGATTGTTTTATCCCCGTTATTCATTTTTTGAGTAATACAAGTTTTTCGATGGGTCGAACTTCTTTCTTCTGGAGTGTTTGTGAATGGTCAATGGTCGCGTTTGTGTTGGTGTTATTTTATAGAGAACGTCACTTTAGAAATACGAAACCTGACATAGGCTGCCAATGCTTTGTTGCATCGTCCAACGACAAGATGTTAACTTGCCTCTTGAGAAACCACTACGCTGAAGAGCAGTGCGATTCGTTCTACTTTATGGTTTGGAAACGAGAGCACAGAAGAAAAGCAGGAATTCGACGCGTATAACATTGTCCGCATGTGTTGTTAGTGACACAGGAATAATGCGGAAGTTAGACGCAACGTCTTAAGTAAAAGAAGCGGAGCGGTTGGCGAAATTGTGCAACCTTATCAATTTACACTGAACATGCCAAACTGCCACCTAAGCCTATACATGATGTTAGCTGAAGTCTAATCATCACTGAGGTGGGAAACTGTCTGTGTGATATATCGCTACTTCACTAGCTTTCTCACTTTTGGTAAAAGTGAGTTTCCTGGCTAGAATTTACCGACGACGAGAAACAAAATTTCGGATCTACAGGGTGACTCAGAATTGATCACAGTGGTGCAGACCTGTCGACAGTCTGTCTTAGTTCCAGACATGGTATCGGTGTTTTCCTTTTCTCTGCCTCATAACTTCCCATAATATGTGGCAGTCTATTTGTCTTTTCCGACATTTTATTCCATTTGGCTTTCACATATGAGGTGTGGCAACCTAGACTGTGACTTAAAAGTGTTAGATTATGTGGTGGTAGTGCATGCATGTTTGGTGAGGAAGAGCCTTATGTCTTCAGTGCTGGTTATACCAAATGCTACGCATAATATTACTCCACCTAGATTATTGTGTGACACTCGATTGAAGTTTAGTTCTTTGCCAAGACAGTAGTGTAGTTTTCACTGAGGGACAACTTCCATGAGGTTTTCTATTTCTTGGTTTCAAATGTGGTCATCTGCATTAAATCCTTGCTCAACTTTCAGCCATTCGGCCACAATTTCGAGCCCTAACGAAATGGTTCCGTTAGCCCTCACGTGTGTTCCTTAGTTGTAGTTAGCCACTAGTTTGATAATTTACACAGGCGTAAGTATTGCCCTTTGTGAAGACTGAGTGTAGAAATTCGGACCCACTTAACGAAATGCTTAAAGAACATTTTCCTGTTGAAAGCTATTTTAGCTAGACTGGAACTTAGCGCACTCAATCCATTGAAGAACTAAGAAGAATAATGCAGCAGGACGACATGGAAATTTCTAATGAAGAAATTATCTCTGAAGAAGTAAGTCACATTTTTGACTTTCTTTAAGTATCCGAATTATATTACTGGTTGCAATATCATTTTTATCCTTTACGTTCCAAGCCTTAGATATGTTTTACTTCCGAAAAGTGTCGCAGGATGATCTGAACAATCTCAATTGTGCTATTTCTACTTACAGTTCAACTATCAGAAAGTCACTTTTAGCAAAATACTTCTAGGTAGCTTGTTCATTTAAATTTGGTTAATCGTAAGGCACATTATGTGCGTGAGAATATTTTTGTCTTAATAATTAGCTCCGCCCAACCGATTTCGAGGTTGTATATTTGGAACTGGAGTCATTTGTTCAGAGGGTTTCTCCAATTAAATATAAGGTGAACTTATGGTATTTCTTTTCATCTAGGCAAAATGCCATCTAATTGATCCCGATAGTTGTTATATTTTGTATCACATTGACTTATAACCTTTACCACTATGCCACTGTCTTGTAAATACACTGCTGAATAAATTCCTGTGAACTTTACTAATCATAGGTACACAGTCTTTTTCACGATGCGTGTAAATCAGGAAATATTCGCTTGTGCAGAACGCTGATAGAAACTGGACGAGCAGATGTAAATTTAATGGATAGCGTAAGTTATTCAATGTCGTATTTTTATTCAACTAAAAACTTCATATTATTCATGTTGTATGTAACTGGTGTTTAAAACATGGTGTACAGTTGGAATGGGGAGCATTAAAACTAACAGACATAGAGAGAATCGGTGTATCTGTCTATAACTACCATTAGGTCAAGGCTTGTGAAATGTAAGGTATCCGAATGAGGATGTCGGAGTTAAGCACCAAGGATTATGTGCGGTCTGTAAGTTAGTAGACATACCAGTGAACCTGTGATGGGTGCAAAACGTGTCACATGCTAGATCAGTATCTTTCTTTGCTCAGAATCTTTGCCAAAATTAGTTGGGTAAATTGGTGATCGAAGTCACTTCAGAAAGTGTAGGTTAGATGATTAGGGTCGCTGTAAGCAGCTGAAAGTTTCCGAAAGCATGGTACAAAGTGACCCACGTATATTCGCTCTCGACATCTTGAGAACATCATTTATTTGTTGCTTTGTTTCAATTCCTTGGCGATTGCACAATGCCCATTTGTTTTATTGAAATGTCTTTATTTTAAATATAATTATGCACTGTATTAGTGTTTTATATGTGTTGCGAAAATACTGTATTTATACCAGAAGCCTTAGATAAAATTTCCCATCAAATATTTCGAAGTCTGTTGAGATGAAAATCATTACTCATGCATAACGCTTTCACCTCATATCGCTTGACATCAGAGATCACCCACAGACTTAAACATCACAAAACAGAAATCCTTCGTACTTATAAGCAGGTGCGATCGCATGGATTCTGCCGCAGAATTATGCTGTGGTGTTGATACGATTCACGTGGACTCAATTTTGGAAGAAGGAGACATGCTTCCCAGAAGCTATCTTGGCCAGCGAAATCTATTTCGAAATTGCCTGCACCAAATATCAAAAGTAACGTTGGTATCGGAGTTATCGTGGAGTTCAGGAATGTTACTAGCGATTCTATCCAGTGAAGGGGCTGCTAAAACTAGAGTAGCATGTGACAATTTGATACTTGAAGTTTTTCTATGCGTGAACAGACCGGTAATTGTCATTCGTTTCTCAAGGAGGCTGTCTGACTTCGATGAATCCAGCAGCTTCGTCTCCACCTTTCTATTTCCAAAAACTATCGCCTCATTAGAAACTGCGCGCACCTGCCTGACCACTGTGGTCATGGAAATCGTCTGTTTGCTACCAACAGTGTACAAGCATTAGGTGATTTCCCCACTGTTATTGAATGGTTGGAAGTGTCACCATACCAAAATATGTTTAGAAATATGTATCCACAAGATATGTCGATTAGCGCATGAAAGCGATAATGGCCAGAAGTAGTAGACATTATTTTAAAAGGATGAAGTCAGTTGATAGAGTAGATATCGATTCCTATTTCAGAGTGTCCTCTGGATGTTTTCACTCCACATATTTACCTCCCTTTGGTAGACTTAAATGATGAGGTATCAACAGCTTTTTTCTGTGTGGTTTGTTTTTAAATTCATAATTGGGAATGAGTATGGATCTTAACAATCATCTCAGTACAAATAGTTTGGATTTTCCTGCACGACTAAATGTTACATATTAGTAGGAATTACCTTCATTCTGTTTCACTCTTATACTTATCAAAACTCTATTGATTCTCTTCACTCATTTTCTTGTCTACCTTTGTGTGCTATTTGGAACGTGGCAACTCGAACTGCTGCACTTCGGTGCCAAGTTCTATGTTGAATCCAGCCAGCCAGCCAGGAATTACCTTGGGATAGTTCGTGGTCGGTAAGCGACAAGGAAATACATCATTACAGTCGTAAAGAGTGTTTCTTTTAACCTCAAATACGAACATTTATTCAAGAAGAGCCAATGAAATGCGGTAAAATAACAATAAAATGATTGAATGTTTTGCTGTTGTAGTGTTACAGCATATCATTACTCCTTAAATATTCAACCATAGGGTTTTATAAATTAAGGTATTAAATATTTAAGTATCGGTAGACAAATAACAATCTGTAGTGGTCCATTTGTGGTGTCATCCGCATTTCATCGCCTAGTAATCTTTATCCAAATTCCTGATAAACTAGATCATTCTGATGTGTTAGAGGCCAGGTCAGGGAATGCTTTGTAAAGTCAATATAACTTGTTGATAAGTTCTCTGTCACTGTTAGTTATTTGATTCTCAATGTTATCGTTGCAGTTTGCCTTTATAACATTTGGAAATATAATTGAGTGATTCAAATATTTCCTTATCAAGTTCCTTGTAAACCCCATGTTTATTTACTTGCTATCATTACTTCTGACGAGTGTATTCACCAAGTTGAATTGACGTTTCCTACTTTTTTGTGTAGTCAGGCAATACACCACTTCATAAAAGCATCCTTTCCAGAAACGTTCAAGTAACTTCATTACTTTTAAGATGTGGAGCAGAGGTCAATCAGTGTGATCGTGAGGTGAGTTTCGTGTAGTGCTACTTATGTTGCTCTTCTTCTGTATATCTCTGTGGAAGTTTGAACTTCGTAATGCCTAGATATTTTTCAAGTGGAGTAGTGAGTAGAACTTGAGCTGTACTATCTCATATAAGGAATGCTTAAGACCATCAAGTACAGACTGTTGTCATTAATAATCGTTTTAGAATTGACGGATTGTCAGCTAATTTTTAAACCAAAGAGAACAAAATAACCCACTCGCGAATTTTGTGGGTTTACACAAATTCTTCGGGAAACATGATACATTGTATGCTCTTCTCCGCAAAAATTTATACCATCATCACTGAAGAAAACAATCAACACATACGAATTCCCAAACCTAAAGGAAAGGGAGTAAGAGCTTCTAAAACATTCTTTATATGAGCTTCGAAAATACCATTAACTTTTGATTTAGTTGTGTTGTAAATCAGAATCAGCTACAAATTTTCTCCATTATTTCAATACTATTAACTGTTTAGAACTATGCTGACTCCAAGAAGGTGAAATCTCAGTGGTGTTTTGTGGTGAATAAGGCTGAGCGAGTATGATGTGTTTTTAGAGTGTTGTGTGGGCGACAGTTGATGTGAGAACTGCCACTGGAGGTCACCGAGACAGCCAAAGGTTAAGGCATTAACAAGAGGCGTTACAACGACTCGTACTGGAGCAAGTCGACTAACAGTGTGGCCATCAGAAAGAATATTAGGTAGCAGTAGATGAGTTTTCAACGCACAGCTTAGCACAAAAGTGCAGCAGTTCAAGTCGCCGCACATCATATAGCACACAAAGATAATGGATTTGAATGTACTGGGGAAAGAAGTACACACTGGATAGCCAGAATTAAGTGATTCTGGTAGGTCATGAAGTGTGAATGCATCTACATCATTGAGGTCGGTTTCGAGTCATGTCAACGAAAGTCTCCATCCATTGATTCTTAGTGACTTGAGGACTTGGGCAGAGCAGTCTGCTCTCTCCCCACCCTAGGTGAGTCAATCAAACAGTTAAAGGGTTCATGGATTGATACCAGGTTTTGATTTGACCACCCCTAACTCTTTACCAACTTAGTTATAGGTCAGCTTACATCGCTCATCGAAAAAGACGAAGGATTTTCATTCATATCACGTGTCTTCCTTGCCTAACTTTACTGCCGACCTCATTGCTTTTCTCCGTATTATACCACTTAACATGACGAATAGAGCAAAAACACCTATGGTCAAAGACAGTTAGCCTCTTCAAGTCCTCCACTTTCAATGACCATGTCTCGCAGCCATAAATGGCGACAGACCGAGTTGCTGCTTCTTAGAAACGGCCTTCAATGCGTAGCCGGATACCACATCAATGACAACACTAGTCGTTTGTGAATAACGTCGAACCATTAAAGTCAATATTGCAAGATGTATGTGTGAACAGATCGTCGATAGATTATAGTACAAAACACGCGTATGTGACAATATGCATAAATTGAGAATTCGATCACAAAAGAGAATTATCATGAGTAAGAACGACTATACAGTAATGAGTAGTCCTGATCAGTGTTCACACTGAGTTTCATTTAGTCTGATTAGAAGCTCCACATGAGCAAGTGATAGTATAAACAACAAAAAGAGAATATGCGAGAGAGGGTTATGTGTGGGTGTGTGTGTGTGTGGAATAAAGTTATCGTTATTATTATTTTTGTGTAAATCAGCAATTCAATCCATAGAGCACCGGGCTGCTAAATCAGTAACCATTAGTTCGAATCATAGAGCAGATCAAGTTCTCGTTTCAGTTTCATTTACAAGTCTGTGAGACAAGGAATAACCAAATGGACAATATATTTGTCTTTTCTCACAATCACACCAATAAAAGTGTTGTCATTTAAATAACCCCCATCTGTTTATGCTTGTTTCTAAAACAAAAAATATCTTTTTCTGTTTTCATTTCATAAACAACGGTATTAAAAGGGAAACACAGGTTTACACTATGCCTCCTATAATGGTTTCTATAAGTTAGTCAAGTGTTTGTGCTACTTTGGAGCCAATCCGAATTCTCAGAACAAAGTGAGTGCCTTTATTAGTAATATTAATATTATCGTTGCACCAACTTTTGAGTAAAGAATTTAATGATCAATCACACTCAGTCAGTTAGTTAAGTTTAACGCTAAAAATGTGATAAAGATGGTGGTAATTTGAAATTGAAGATAAACACTACATGTGAAGATGGATATTGCAAGTACAGTGAGTGTAATATACTATTTGTTTATACATTTTCGTCTGATGTGTGTTTAGGCTGTTAAAAGGGTGCTGGTAGAAGATAGTGTTTAAGATTAGCAGTGGCAGTCCACTCTCTCATCACGAGGCTCTAGAAGACTCAAGACCAACAGAAAATTTGTATCAAGTTACCAGGATATTCTAGAGTGAGGAACGGGAGTTGAGCATTAAATAAGTGCGCAGAAACAATAAATAAATAAATAAGAAGCAAATAGTGCGTAAGAGTTCTAAATGATGATGACTAGAAGTGATCAGATTAATAGTAGTAGTGGTGAAGTTAATGTATCATAGCCAAATCCAAGGTGTTTAAT